GAGGCTGAGACTTTTAGAATTTAAACTTTGCCAAATGTATATTTCCTGAAAAAAGAAAAAGAACCAGCTCATATACCACTAATAGCTGAATTGAAATCTACATTTTTCTTTTAGTATAAATTCAAATAAAAATAGTCATATCCTGTAATAAATAAAATAAAATTAGCATTTGAATAGGCTTTAGTAGAACAGATATCCACCATTTAGGTGCTAAAATTATCAGAGTTCGAATTATTGTAATTAAGATGCAGTCATTATTCTAAAACGAGCTAGCAAGCAGTGCAAGGTTTTGTTCGTTTGTTTAAACTGTATTCTTTCAGGCACTTTATGTAGTGGAATTCAATACAATATATGTAGGGATTTTATTATACAAGAGCCATCATCCCTTACATCCTATTCCATTCCTTTCTGTGAAATGTGAAAACTATAAATTTGTCATCAAATTTATAGATTTCAAATAACTACACTAAAAAGCATGGGATGGAGAAAATACTTGACTCTTGAGGATTTTTGCTCTCTCATGCTGCATATAGCTAGATTCACGATTACTAAGATGTTTTTAATAGGCCTATGGTCTGTTTCAATTTTTCCAAAGGGTAAAAATGTACTCTTTGAAGTAAAGTATTCACCTATCTGATATAAATAAAACCTTTCATGTAGAAAAATGTTTTCCCAAATGGAAGAGTTAATGCACCTCAAATATGTGAGAAATTTGCTTCCAATTGTGCAATCTTTAGTAAAGATTCCATCTTACTTTTTCATTATAAAATTTGGGGAAAATATCGGTGAAATCTCACATATCACTTTATAAGTCAATGCTAGAAACCAACTCATTCTCATGGCTTCAATGACAACTAAGATAGCTCTTAAACAATCTTTTTGAAAACGTTTCCTTGATTTTGGCCTTCAATCGGTGAAAGTGGTTTCCTCCCGATAGACCTGTTTGACATTCACAAATCTTGCATTTTGCCTGAGTTGGCAATGGTTTCTTGCTGAGAAAAAGCTGCAACCCTAACTTAGGTATCATGAAGTGTACCTCTAACAGATGTCAATATAAACTTTTCCCCAATGCAACATAAGGCCATAAACTTCTAGGACTAATCTAGGATCACCGTTAACTCCAATGGCTCCCTATTACCTGCATGTCAGCATGACTCAACATGCTTTCTCGGCCGGTCTCTGTCTACCCCAGTGCATTCTTCTTGTATTGCTCAGTCTGTCTTTGGACAAGCTGGTCCCTCTCCTAAAAAATGCCCTTCCTTTCTCCACTTTCCTGTCATACTCCTGTTCAGATGTGACTATTTAATGGGGTCCCTCTAGACTCCTAGAAAAGTTAATTTCTCTTCTCTCTCTGTTTTCCTAACAGATACAAGTTGAGCACCTTAAATCTGAAAATCTGAAATCTGAAATGCTCCAAAATCTGCAACTTTTTGAGTGCTGACATAACACTCCAAGGAAATGCTCATTGGAGCATTTCATATTTTCATATTTCCACATTTCAAATGCTCAAGTATATATAATCCAAATATTCTAAAATCCCCAAAAATATGAAATCTGAAAAACTTCTGGTCCCAACATTTTGGATAAGGGATATTCAAACTATACTGCCATTACAATACTAATGACATGGTAATTGGCACCTCCAAGAGGCAATATCTTGTAGTGTCTAAAGGTGAGGAGTTGGAAGACAGAATTTGAATCCTGGCTCTGTCACTTACTAGCTGTGTGATCTTGGGCAAATCACTTTAACCTCCACGAGCCTCAGTTCTCTCATCTATAAATAACAATAGTACCTCCATTATGGGCTTACTGTAAAGAATAAATGTTTCTAGCACGGTGCCTATCACATAATGAAGACTTGACATCTTAGCGTTACTATTACATGGATGAAGGAAGAGCCCAAAGATGGCAGATAAACATATTGTGCTTTCATAATTTGAAGAGTTAACACTTAGATTAGGATCTGAAAGTGTAGCCATCTTGAATCATGTGGTGATTTCTTTTAAGAAAGCACATGAGGACCTATCAAACAGTGGCAAACAAATAGAAAGCTTACATACTCTTTCATAAGTGTGGATGGGGCTGGTTTTAGGGTAGCTCATCTTTGGTTGTGATGCCTGACCCATGAAAAGAAATTGGATATTACACAGAACCAAGCAAGGATGGACAGCAATGTGGAGACATGCCATATTTTGTCTGCAAAGAGATTCTGTCTAGTAGTGTGGAGACTTACAGTGCAACTGGTTACAAAATGGAGAACAGTCCAGTGTCAGCTTGGATGAAAAAACTTCAAATTGAGAGTTCACCTTACTTGAAAGCTCTTTCCATTATTTTTCATATAAAATGTAAAATAAGGGAAAGGAAAAAAAGAGTTATGGAATTCATTTCCTTCCAAGAGAGAAAATAAAAAACAAATCACAACAATTAATATTACCAGATGAACACCTTGTACAAAATAAAACGACAGATTTAATGTATTGCAAAGTGTCATTTGAAGGGACTTCTTGGCTGAGGAAAACATTTGAATTTTATTTCTTTAAATGAACGTAACTATTCCCGTGTGCATATGTCTCAGACCAGAAAAGTTTCTGGGTGCTTTTCCTGACCAACTTGAAGAGAAAATTCAGTTACTATTTCCTGCTTTAAGCAAATCAAAAGCCAACTGAGGGTAACAAATGAATCAGATGATCATTTACACTCCTTGCATTATGTGTGACCAAAGAGTGAAGAGAGAAAAAACTGCCTTTGCAGTCACAGAAAAGAAATTTAGAAAAAATGGCTTTTTTTGTGTGTATATTCCTATGTTCAACTGGGCTGGGTTTTAAAAATTCTTGGATCAGCTTTTCACCTTGTAGAAAAGAAAGGTAGCAATTTTTCTTAAGGAATTGGCAATGATGTGCTCATGCGCTCAGCTCTTTACTTCTGACAGAAAGAGATTGGGGGGGTGGGGAGGAGCCAGGAGTGACTTGGAGAGGGGACTGCTCAGAATCTGCCATTCAAGGCTGGTGGCAGCTTTTTAGAGGCTGCCAATAGGAGTGTGGTGGCAGCAACTATGGGTGTGCCACAGAAAATGGGTCCATACACCAAACTCTGGCACGTGTGGCACCCACAGTTTGCCAGGGCATGGCAAGGGCCCAGACTTTTGATGTCCTGCCCCAGAAAATAAGCAAGCCCATTCCCACTTATTCAACAAGGATGGCAAGATGTTTTGATGTTATGAAAACTCCTGGTACAGAAATTTGCCATTTGGCTTACTTTCCTTTAGTCATTTTTCAGACTAGAAAAGCCAGAAGGAAGAGGATCAGCAGTTTAATATTCATAGCTATTATTATTTGGTCACGTGAGAAGTTGCAGAGTGACAGTCCTTTCTAGGGTAAGCAAATAATGCTATCTGGGCAAATTTAGGTCCTATGTTAATGAATGAAATATATAAAATAGGACACTTTTTAATTTTTCCATATAAAAGAATTCCTGCAAAGTTCTGGAGGACAGAACTTAATGTAGGCTTCATTGTAACCCTTTTTCTATTCTATTCTCTCTTCTAAACTATAAACAATTGCCAAAAGTTCAGCTTAAAAGTGGGCCATACAATTTCAGATTTAAACTCCTTAAATTTTCAATGAGCTGGGTGAAAGATTTCCCCTCTATTTCTTTTTACTGCTTCTACTATCCAAACCCCCAGCATAATACTCCTGGTCCTATACAATTTATCCAAAGCTTTGGGCAGCCCAAGAGCCCTTTTATCCCTCACTAGTGAGTTCAGTACTATTATAAGACAGAGACATTCTTTCCTTCTCTTTTCACTTAAAAAAACATACCAAACCTGAATAGACTCCAGGCTAGACTAGGGGAGGGACTGATTTTTATTGGATCTGACATAGCTATTGACAAATGCTTGAAGACAATATTTTAAAAAAGAGGAAGAAAGAAAAGGCTTTCACTTTATGCCTTAGAGGACAGATTGGTTACAATTTAATTTCTAAGAGGAAAAATTTACAGAATAAAATAGCCTAACATTTCTCTTTCTTCACCATACATATGAGAAATATAAACTAAAGGGACATCTGGAAAAGAACACTATTCAGCAATCAGAAAGTAAAATTCAAACCATTGATGTTTTGATGGAGACAAACATAACTAGATTCACAAAGAGGAAAGCTGTAACCTATTGAAGTTAAAAAAAATTCATATGCATTTTACCTTTTGGGCAGTTCTATAGCAAAGTTCTATTTCAGAAGCCCTTTGTAATATGAAACTTACTGTAGATAAGATACAACACGAAGATAGTCTGCTTTGCAGCAGCAGGAAATCAAATTGGTTCCAGAAACAAAGTTATATGACAAATGGTTTAATAGTATTGCAAGAATTGGAAAGCTTGATTGAATTATTTTTATAATCATTAAAAAAGAGATTTTGAAATAACTTTGCCATACCATGTAGATGCAGGGTGGGGACTTGGGGAGTGCCGCTGAGGTTGAGAGGCATCTCATTTTATTGGCCTTTTAACGAAAGCGTTATAATTTGTTATCAAAATTTAACAGCACAGTGGTGATTTATTGTTAACTTTTGTTTGCAACAAAAATTTTCACACATACCATACTTGATTTAACATAATAGAGATATGTTGTGGAGTATTAAACAGGTTAACAAATTAGATACCTTTTATTGTCATTTCCAAGTTATTTTTAGTTTTAATCTAAGTACCAGTCAGCCTTGCTTTATTTAAAAAGCATCTGAAAAAGTTCATTAAGTCTTAGATTTTAGGAGAGACTTCTAAACAGTTAGCAAGATGTATTACTGACAAAATAACCCAGCGCCTAATGCCTGTAGGTGAAATGAAATCATTCTTCTGACTGAAGTCAGGAACAAGTTAAATATCACTTAGACCACAGCACACGACTACAGAGCTTTAGCAGAAATTGTACTTAAATAGGATGTGACTAGACGTTTAGGACTATTTTCTAAAAAGTCAAAAAACTTCTTTCCCCTTCAGTACTTACAGTCTTTGAAGACTAGAGCCGGGTCTCTGTTTGGCAAGACTTGGGCGATGATGTGTCTCAGAGATTCCAAGGTTCTGTCCATCTTGGGTCTGCCTGTGTGAGCCTCCTGCACAGAGTGTCCTCATGCCTGAATTCCTGCAGTCCTGGACTGAATTTGTGCAGCTCATTGATGCACTGGATTACCAAAGAATCCCTTTTAACATCTGCCAATCAGACATTTCCCAGAATCTAAAGACCCCTCAGGGGACCCTCTTCCCAGGCTCACTTATCTTTGTTGTATGCTGAGCTAATTAGCTCGAAAGGCTGGCTGACAGGCGGGTTCCCATTGCTTCCTTCTGTTAAACACACCCACCTACAGGCTAGCTGGGGAAGCTCGCTAATCATGGAAACAGCTTTCCTCTCCAGCCAGATTTTGCCTGAATGCTGTGCAGCTTTCTGACTTGGGTATTTCTTTTGGCTCTCCATGTTCAATTGAGCTGTCCTCAAAATATGGAATCGAGAAGGTTATTTACCAGGGAAATTTCCTAAATAACAAGGGAGCTTCCAGCTCAGGACTGCCAGCCACATATTATCAGTATAATCAGTATAATTCTAAAATTTCAGTATATTTCTCCTTTGCTAAGGGAGTGCTATGCAGATTGTGGATGTAGCCAGTCACCAGATTGTGCTTTGCGTTTGAATTCAGGAGCAATTCTTCTGGAAGCCAAGGTTTGTTTTTTTTCCTCCACCCAAATTATAGTCACTTTTGTTGGATAGTGGCAAGTATAACCTCGGGGACTGTCTTACAGCTTGCCTCAGAACATTTGTTTCCCTATTTACTCTTTAAGGCAAATCAGTCTCAAGATTGACTTTAATTAATTCCCTATTCATTCACTTCTTTTCATTTCATGATAACTCTTTCTATTGAAAATTTCAGAATAAGCAAAAATACTTTTCAAAAAAATAGACAGTTATTAAAAGATCTTAAGAAAACGGAGATTCTTTTTCTACCTACGTATGTTCTACACTACCCATAACAATTTGTTAAATAATCTTTCCACAAGAAACATAAATATAAGAGAGACATAAATATATGTCATGAGATTCCTTTGCAATAGTAAGAATTTATAAACTAGATATAAAATAACTAATTTTAGTGGCTGTAACCTAAGCTGGTTGTTGAAGGGTTATTGAGGAGTTTTTAACTTTTATTTAAAATATTTTTCCAGGGTAGGCGTAAGAGATTGCTTTCCAATGTTTCTTCCAATTTTCAGATTCCATAATTAGGTTATATTTTATGATGCACTGAAACAAGTCCTTTAAAGATGATGTAAAACCAAAATGCCTTCCATGTGATCAGCTTCTTCAGCTAGTTGGTAGAAGAGTAGGCTTAATAAAAGGAAACAGAAGGAATGGAGCTGTAATAATAATTCTTGTTATAATGACTATCACTTAGCAAATGCTGGCAGGAAGTATATGCCACACAGAAAATAGACATGGGCCTGCCCCAGAGCACAGAGACATTCTTATAAAATAAGAACTTGAAAGAAGTAGCACTTCGTATTAGGACACTTCTTTAAATAGGGCCCCAAAGTGCACTTACTTAACAAGGCCTATACCAAATAGGAAATTGTCAACATCCTTGCTCTCCAGGAGGTTAAAATTTAAAACAGTAACTAGATGGCTTGTGGAAAAAAACTGTTATTAATTGATTGAACACAAAGTATAAATGAATGCAAGTACTTTCAGTGTGATATTGAATTGGAAACCAAGATATTTAAGGTTTCCATTAGAGAACCAGGAAAAATAACATGGGCTTCTCAAAGAAATAAAACTGATGCTATAAAAAGATAAAAATAAGAAATGCTTGGATTTCAATCAATAAGTGGTTATTTTTATGGGCCTAAATTTAATTCCAGCAGTATTTAAAATATTTTGGTTATATTGTGATAGAAGGAACACTGAATTTGGGATCAATAAGGCCTAGGGTTTGACGTTCATTATCCATGTAACCTTGAGGAAGAGATTCATCTTCTCTGCTCAGAGTCTTTATCTATAAAATTAAGGGATTAAGCTGGATGTTTTCTTTCAATTCTAACATCTATGATTCTATGGCTATATTACAAATGAGCACAAACATCATCACAGATATTTTAGCCTTCTGTAAGTTCACATATTTATTTCCTAAAAGCTGAACGTGTCTTTGAACAAATCACATCTATTCCCACAGTCAACCTGATGGATATCCATTCATCAATATGAGAGACACAAATCAATATGATGAATTCAAAGATGCTCACTGCTAAAGCTAACTACAATGAAAGGTAAGAATTTGTTAAGAAAACTAATCTTCAGCTTCCATAAGGTTTGTCTAAAGAAGGCAAACTCCATGAGCATCTTCATAGAGAACCCCAAAACAGCTTTTCAAAGATAAATTCACATAAATATTATGATCTTTGAGTTATATTTTAAGAAATCAAAAAGGAATTCTAAGAAAGGTGGATTATACAACATTCTAGTTAGATAGTATAGTTCCTTTATTCCTATTAAACTCAATCCTTCAGCAGTTTTCTTAAACCTTTGCTTATGCTTTTCTTCCTTGAATACCCATAATGACTTTTTACATTAAAGTGCTGTTGTAAGACAGTCTAGAAAAATAACTGTGGTTTTTTTACTATTCTTTCTTTGATCAAAAAGCACCTAATGGAGGTGGAAGAGGCTGAGGAACTCCTAAGCAACGTGTCTATTTTATTACAAATTCTAAAATTCACATGTTAGATTTTACCGTAAACCTCAACCATCTGTAGGCATATGGCAAAAGCAAGAGTGCTGAAACAAGGGTAGATGATTATAGTGAAAACAAAAATGATGTTTTTACAAATCTTGTTAGGGTACTAAGAGGAAGGATGAGATATGGCATCCAGGTGACATATTCAGTGATCAAAACTTACCACCCAACGGCAGAAGAGGAAGGCACAGTGCAGCAGCACACTTACCAAGCTTCCAGGAAGTACAGAGCTCTTTGAGATGAGAAATCGAGGTGGGATATTTTGCATAATTTCATGGACAATGCAACAACAAGTCTATGGAAACAGTAATTTTGCTGGTAAGGAAAATTCACTCCTGTCATTCCAACGATGTTTTTGTTGTTAGCTCATTACATTCATAAAAATGATAAGAGGTGGGGGCCACCAATTAAAAGAACATCCAGAATGTTAGAAAACATAATAGATACATTTGAGAATCATCTTTAGTTAAATACAGGAAGGAACTCTCTCCTCATGCCATAATGTGCTCTACGCTGGAGGAGGAGGCTGGGGTAGGTGAGGAGGAGAGTGGGCCTGTTGGTGAGTCCACAGGTGAAGCTGGTGAGACTCCAGGTTCCGAAAAATTTCAGTTCAAGGCATGCAGGCTCTAAAGAATAGGCCTGCAGTAACTGAACCGGAGCCAGCTTACACTGTTCGTCCCTAGGGAATCAGGTGACTGAAGGAGGGAGAGGACCTTGATGGAGATTTAGGAAGATTATCTTTCTTCATTCACTTGCTAATGCCTTCTTAAACATTTACAATTTAAGATAAAGCAGGTAAAATAAAAAATAATTGAAGTCATGCAGTTACCATTAATATGGAGAGCAAAGAGTTTATAAAAACAATGGGAAATGATTGACAGCAGCTCCTTCTAGATTCTAGTGGAAGATGGGTAGAGGGAACTGGAAGGGCCTAAATGCAGCATTGGCAAAAGAAGGTCAAAGCTGTGTTCAACAGTGTTTCTGAGGGTTTTTGGGAGGATGAAGAAGAGGAAGGGCTGGGAAGAAGCTGACTTCCAAGAGGCAACAACTAATGACTGTTCAGTGTCAGCTTTGGTTAGCCTCAACTAGGAAGAGACCAGTAGGAGCAGTGAATGGCTGGTTAGCATCAACTTTGTTTACTTTCAACTGGGAAGGAAAATGTTAAATGAATGAATTCCTGCTCAGTGTTTATTTATTTACTCTCAACGGGTAAGAGGACCAATGAGATGTTTGAATCAAGGTATTTATGAGAGGGTCAGTTGGAAAGGTAACTTCAGGTGGCTTCTAGGCAAAAGTTTTAAAACACAAGTAACATTAAAAAACCCATCCTAGACATTTGTCCATTGATATTTCGCTACATTTAGGAAATCATCAATAAGAAGTAATCTGTTGACCTGCATGAAAAATAATTAGAACATTGATTAATATCCCATCTACAGATGAAGAGAATGTATATTTCTTCATTTTTACAGAAAATTATGAAAAAACGCCTAGTCCACTGCCCTTTATCCTTGCCAGTGCAGAGTCAACCCTTACAACCAGAAAGCACAAGGAAAAGTAAACCTCTCATTTACCTGAAGTTTTGGATTGTTATATGGATTTGGGGGCAGGAAATGAGTCCACGTTACCTTGACACTCTTACATAACCAATTATGCAGTCCTGTCTTAGTATTTGGTACTGGAGAGAAGTAAAATTTATTTTTTAAGAAAATAATTTAGAGGCCAAAATTGGGAACAAACTTTGCTAGTGTACGAGTCAACACTTTCAGGATAAATTCTTATTAAAAGGTGGGAGAATTTGGATGTTCAAATTTACAAGATTAGAGATAATGATGCCAAGTCCTTGGATCACTGGATACATGTTCCATGAAACTCATTACTTTAACTGTGATTGGCTGACTTCCAGTATAATATGAATTTTAAAAAGGATAGTTTAAAAATTTTGTTTTGTTTTTGGGGTTTTTGTCAGTAGCCTTTACCACAACATTTTCTCTTTCATAAAGGTTTATCTAATTATTGGTTCCTCTCCTTCCATTTTCTCAGACACCATCCCCCCTACCAGAACAGGTATTTACCGTGTTGGGTGTTCAGGAAAAACCTTTATAGAAGATGTGGCTACAAAATTGATCCTAAAATAGGCATCTGAACTCCAGCTGAGTTTCTGAGCAGCTCCTCAAATGAAGAGAGGCGAGTCTAACGGGGATGCTGGGGGATGAGACGTACACTCCTTCCATGGGTTACCTGGAGCTGCCTTTTATCTTCTTTAGATAGTCATGTTTCTGGGGGTATGAGTCACATAGAATGTTTAAATATTTGCAAAAATAATGAGCAAATTAAAATGAAAATTTAGACTATAAAAAAATATTAAGTTAAAACAAATCTAGGGAGAACATTAAACAAATGACTTAAACCTGAGATTAGCTGATGAACATGTTAGATTCAAGCAACCTAGTAATTTCACAGCTCCATATATTTTAGATGAAGCTTTCTGTAAAGATTGCGTCATCAGTATAATATTAATTCATTTCAGGCCACATTTACGGATATGCTTACATTAAGACAAAAGCCTTGTGCTCATCCATTTCACACTGTACACTGTAATTTCCACTCCACTTCCTATGCAGTCACCACCACAGCACTGCACTTAGCATGCATTCTGCTGACGAAGAAGAATCATTATTTCTTTCCAAAATTTGTTTAAAGGAGGAATAGGAAACTGTAGATAGGGGGCCTATTTTTCCACTGAAAACTGGAGAAAGACCAAGTTAGAGTATAATATATTCTTCTCATTCTTTCAAGGTACCTCAGTAGCCCTGAGCTCCAGGAGAAAATACTCACCCAGCACTGGCCTCCCCCCAGGCCTCCGCTCCCCCAACCCCCTGCCAAAAAAAAAAAAAGCAGGAATGTTCCACTGAGGGCAGCTGTCTATTGAGATAGATTTTCTTGGATGTGTGATGAGATAAAAAGACTTAGGGAAAACAATCTTTGTTTTCTAAAAAGTGAGGAAATTTTATGGAGGATAGAACTCAAAACCTGGTTGTAAGGGCTGTCGCTGATACCTCCACAGCACCAGGAAGACAAGCCAGATTTTGTGGACCTAGTGACTTTGCAGAAGAAAACCCCAGGCTGAATACAAGCCCTAAGCCACCTGAGTATGCTGGTTTTCCTATCATTCACCTTTTCCTCCTTCTCCCTCCTAATCTTACTCATACTATGGGACTCTGGGCAAGTAATTTTAAATCTAAAGATTTTTCTCATCTCTAAAATAAAAACTAGGTAATGAAGAATCAACGGTAACTATAAGTTTAGTATAATAGGATTTTATTCCAGATTGTCTTGACCTTAATACTTAGCCTATTAATAACTGCACAACCTTTTAGATTCTATTTCAGATTCCCTCAGATCCATTCTAACATCGACAGATTTCCTTTAGCCCCAACCCTCTCCCTCTTCAAAATCAAATCATTGTACTGCTCAAAACCTACAGCTGCTCTTTTTCTGAATACATCTTTTTAAAAAATTTCAAAATCATCTTTGATTTGGCTCTTTGCTGCACAGCACCTTTTTCCTGACACAGTATAGCAAGCACACTTTATTCATTTCTGTCTTCTGGATTTTCTGCATGATTTCCTCCTGCAAGCTCTTTTTCAGTCTACCTATTCAACCAAATCCTCATTTCCCAAAACAACTCACCAAATCACGCTGGACTTTCACTCAGACCGTGCTTGGAATTTCCTGAGCACTAGTAAGTGGTACCAGGCTCTTAGGTAGTCTACTTTGCATTGTCATGTAGTTGTTCCATGTGTTTATTCTTGTTTCTCCAAATACACTGGAGGCTTTCAGCCATCAAAAATTGTATCTTAAAAACCTATGTACTCTCTTCCTTGATAACACTTTCTACATCATCAAACACTCGGAAAACTGATGTGTGAACACATATTTTTCATCCCAATCTAGGCCAAATCTCTTCAACCAACAGCAGGATTATAGTAAGTTGGGTTTTTATGACTCATTTACTTCAAGTGGTTACCTTTTTGTAAAAAAAACGGAAGTACATAATGTTGTGATAAATGTCCCAAATAATATATTTTATATTTATTATGAGGCATATTTCTATTTATGAAACTAAACGTATAATAATGATTCTAAATGTTATATAAAATGTTAATTTTAATGTTATCATTTACAATATTAAGGTAAAAGAAACACTTAGTCTTTAAAAGGTAACAACAAATATTAGTCTTTGCAAATGAAGAATTTTCTCTAAAATTATTATAGGCCTTAGAATTATCCCCATACTCCTGGTTATTACACAACTACATAACCCATGGCTAGTCTGAACTTTAATCTCCAGCCCCCTCACACAGTTGCATAAGATGGCTCCAGTACTTCATAAAGCAAACCAAGGACAAACTAAGATATGGCCTGATGTTCTCTAGGGAGCTGATCTGAGGGGGGATAAATAACACTGGGGATGGCAAGCCTTAGCTCACCCAAGATACTTAATCTGTGACAGTGAAATAAACCTATACTTAGGAAATGCTCTACCTAAGAACCTAATAGAACACATTCCTTCTACCCTTTGGAAGTGGCTGATAAACCTGGAGGGCAGCCACAGGCGGAGCTTTTTAATTTGGCAACTACGTATTTTGTCAGAAAACTTACTAAGCATTTGGCTAAAAGAATGATTATCTTGAGCTGCACTAACTCTCTGATTAGTACCCTTTAAGCATTTTTACGGTTCTGGAGAAAGCTCAAAGGTAGCCAGCTGCATACCAAAGAACAGACCAATGGCTACGGATACAATATTAGCATAAGTATAAATGGCACATTTTGTAGGAAAAGGTTATTTAATGGGAACAGTAGACTACACAAGTGACAAAACATCTGAGTCTTGATAATAAATACAAAACAAAGGATCAGAGTTGGATTATCAGTGACCTTGAAAATAGGAAAGATGGTCAGCCTGTGGAACCTTAAGAACTCATTTTGGCAATACTTATTAAATGTATAGTCTATATAGGCACTATGCTAAGCTCTTTACAAGTGTTATTTAATCTTCATAACAACCCTGAGATAGGTACTAACATGTCCTCATTTCACAAATCAAAAAGTTGAGGTTAAAAACGATACAAAAGATACCTGAAATTTGGGAAGTGGTAAAATCAGAATTTAAATTTGGAACTCCCAGACTCAAAAAGTGTTTTAACAATCATAATATATAACTTTACTACATTAGTAATAGACTTAAATTTTGTTTTTCTTCATTGTTCACTATGGGTGTTTTAAAATGTGAGGGCTTCAGATTGTCTGATAGGGCAAACTCTCTAATTTCTAATTGATAACTATTCAAATCTTTAAAAATAACATATAATTAGACCCTAGTTTTCAAACCAAAACACCATATCCAGAAAAAATTAAATTTATACCAGATCATTTATTACTAAATCTTCAGTAACTAGTACTAATCTTTGCCCAGATGAGGAGAGGTCTCCACTTCTAATTTGAATAATCTATTCTTTGGCCCATATGAAATCTTAGGCTATTAAGTCTAAGAACCATGTTTATTTGCCATCTGAGTTTCTCAAATAGTAATGAGCTTTTTATGTTATAGGTACCAAAAGTTGACTAAGTCAACTGAGCAAAGTTTTGCAGGATGAGGTAATATAGTTTTATTCCCAATTTGCTTTCAACACTCTGTATATAAGAAAATATATTCCAAAACAAACATTCTATGGTTCTATTAAGCTGTTTTCAATGCTATTTTATGTTACAAATTGCTTTAAAGTGGACAGATTATAAAAAATAAGCCCGGAATTTAAAAACATATCTAAAATTCAAAGCAGAGCTAAGTAAATACTTCCAAAATTAGTCTAATTTTCAAGGGAACTGGATTTGGCATTATCTTCCATCTATATATTTAAATAAACTAGATAATGATGGATCTTGCAAATAGTCAGTAGAATTAATTTTGCAAAGGTGAAAGGGAATCTGCTGTTTATATCAATCTTGGAAAAGAACATGCTGTACTTCCTTTGGTAGGTCATAATCAGGGATGCAAATAATTCTGTTTGGTGAGTATGGGGTGACATTGCCATCTAGTGGCCATTTTTTACTGCAGGTGATCTCCTTATGACTTCTGCAGCAAGACTTCATACCATCAGCATATATTTAAACACTCATCTTCACATCTCGCTGAATTATAAAGGCCTTGAGGAAGGGACCATGGCTTACATATTTTCTTTTCTGCACTTCCGTTAACTTTGAGGTGAGAACATCTTCCAGACCCACCTACATAAGGACATATCACTATTCATTCCCTTTACCTCCCCAGACCACTAACTGTTCTAACTCCTGCTCAAGCCCGTGTAAAAGCTGGCTACTGTAAAAATCATGGTGGGACTATCTCGAGTTTCTGTTCCCACGACCATCTTACCAAAAATCTACTTTTTGCCAATCTATCAATTAATTAAATTATGCAATAACAGCTTATCCATACTTAAAAAGACTAAAAAAATAGAAGGCAGTGAATTCTCCCGGTGGCCAAATGAAATGCAACCAAGTTGTCAGAATTTCAGAAAGATAATCATTATAATTATTCTAATAACTATGCTTTATTGAATGCTTATAATGTGCACTGTCTTGTGTAATCCTCAAAACAACCATACAAAGTAATTACAAATCCAATTTTAACAGTAAGAAAACTGAGGCAGAGGACGAAAAAGGGAGAGAAATATGACTTGTTTAAGGCTGTTTCTACTAGTACGTGGGAAAGCTGGGATTTGAAACCAAGTAATCTACCTGTTCTTGGCAGAGAACAGGAAACAACAAAATGGTGATATTTAGATTTTTAAAAATATGCAAATATCTCTAATAAAGTTATTCTGAAAAAGATTTATCATAGTTATCTAAATTACTTTCAAAAAGCCTTAGCAGACAACTATTCTTTGTAAGACACATACTGAATGAGTCAAATTTAAAGATGAAATAGGATTTATTTATCTATTTATATATTGGCCTCAATCCAAAAGGCTACAAGTGGCTTCAAAGGGGGTTATAGTAACTTAAAAAAATAAAATATTAAAAATATATGTTATTCTCCCCAAAAGCTGGCTGCTTCCAAACTTGATTTAATATTTTGCATGTTTTCCCTTCGTTGCTTGGTAAATATATTTGCTTCTCCTTTCTGTAATCGACGTCTGACAGCTGATTTTTGCTGTTTTGTCAACTGACGTTTCACCTTCTGTTTCACCAGTTCCTAGAAAGATTTCATAAATTAGTATCACCAACAATGAACCATTTTGGTAAGGAGTACACATTCCCTAAAACATATTTACAACATCACTAATTTTTCAAATTTTTCAAATGTATATGTTAAGAGCGTGAATTTAAAAAATTCCAAAAACTGACAGTACTATTTGGAAGTTGTTATAAAACAGGAGAAATTAAATTTCGAACAGAAATACAGACTATAAAATGACCTTATTGGAAAAAAAAAAAAAAAAAAGAAATACAGACTATATAGCATATAGTTACAATTCTTAACAAAAATCACCATAGTGCCACCTGGTGTCCATCATGAAAACTAATGGAAAAAAACAAGATGAAAACTGCTTGTTCCTCTGCTTCCTAAGTTAAAAGTAGGCATGATTTTGTAATAGAAAATTATTATTGAAAGCATTCACTATTGGTCACTATATCCAAAAATGCCTTCACAATTTCAGGTGTGAAAATGACCTCATAGCAAGCAGTTACACATGGAAAAGTCTAAAGTCTTCATATAGTTTTTTGGAGTTACAGAATGCTTCTCATACAGTGAATGACCAAAAATTCAAATTACTTGTTAGTTAAGATACGGGACGCACATGTCACATAACCTACAAGATGAATAAGAAATCTGAAATATTCAATTCACTATGACCTTTCCTTTCCCTGAAGCACTACAGCCTGTTATTTAATTGTATATGACCTCGCACTGTCCAACTTGTCTCCTAAAAAAGAAGATAAACACAGCAAGGGCAGAAGCAAGGGCCCTCTTAATGTGCTAGGCACAAAGAAGAATTTATTAAAAATCTTTTAAGCTAAACAATTAAACAATTAAAGAATAATGGATTTGAGGGGTAAAAGGGGGCAAGAAGAACTAGTCTGCCTTTTGCATTATTTCTTGAGTTGTATAATATAAAGTTGTGGGTCAGAGGAGTTAAATGCAGACTTTGGATTGTTTTATATTATTAAGCAGAATATAATCAATTAACAGGCTTTAATAAGTTGTCCTTCTTCTAGTTTAATGATTCTTACTGGAAGTAAAGGTCTAAGAAGAGAGGAGGAAACAGTGCAGAACTCAAGTTTCTACAGAATCTGATACCCCATGAGATGCAACTGCTCCCAAACCCAGGAAAGCCTGAGAATAGAAAGACCTGATATTCCAGAAGGCTTGGGAATGAAAATAGTAGAACTGGCTAAAAGTTTCAGGACCCTTCCCTATCCCAGGAAGCTGCCTCCCCACTCCCGTAGGAGCCCAGAATATGGAATCAGAACATCTTCTTCTTAACTACAACACTGTAAGCTTGAAAGAAAATAATGCCTTTGGGATTCTGGAGGAAAAATTTTCCAAACCATAATCCTAATATTTAAACTCCCAAAGACGTGTGAGGCAGAATAAAGACATTTTTAGTAATGAAAGGTCCCACAAAATTTATTCAAAAAATAATTGACATCTATAACACCAAAAACTAAATAAGAGAAAGACATGGGACTATGAAAAAAGGCATCCAATTGATAGGAGACGAGAAGTTCCAAGAAAACAATAGAGCATGCATCATATTTAAACCGGAGTGCCCAGGCCTGCAGCATCTAAGGTAAAAAAAGATTGTTTTCTTTTCTAGATAACCTGCTTGCATTTCCCTTAGTTCTTTACTTTGATGAGACTGTAAAGATAATCATTTCAAGCAAAATAAGGAGATGATGGGTTAACACGAACGTACCTCCCTCCAAATTAAGAATACTTTACAAATCCTACAAGATTTTTATGTTAAAAAATGGCAGAAAAATTATACTTTAATATATTAAAAAATAGTGAAACATGAAATAAAATATTTGTGTCTCATTTTTGGGAGTACACAAAAATTAATAAAATCTGTGTTCTTTTTTGGTTGCTGTTAAAGCAAAAAGTTCTAGTAGGTAGTGGCCATATACATATATATTTATTAAAAAGCAATATACCTTACTGTTTAATTATAATTGAATTCTGTTACATATTAACGAGAATGGAGTTCATAAATGGCCTATAAATAGGAACTATAAAAATATTTTAAGGAGAAAAACTGATCTTACAGTTATAAGTTCTAAGATCACAAAGAAAATTTTTTATCTTTGTACACGTACCAAAACAACAATCATCAAGTTAAGGGAGATTATGAAATAGTTTGTTTTCTCCTGGCCTTCTGACAAAATAAATTGTAACCTCAAGGAAAACAGTTGACAAAATTCCCCAAAGAATTGCAGAGTTAAGACGATGAATTTTTTCAAATAATTGGAGAGAAACCTTTATTTATCAAAGTAGGCTGAAGATATCTTTCCCCCCCTTCCTTAGAAGGCGAATTTGTGTTTTATGTGATTCATATAACCCAAGAGGTAAGAATTAAAGGCGTGACCCCACTCTGTATTTTTAAGTTCATGCTGCTGCTGGTTGTGAGAGAGACAGGTAAGGATCAGAGCAGTAAAAATGAATAATGGTTAAAACATCCAAACACAACTTTAACCTTGCCTCTTGACAATGTGTGCCATCATCTTCATATATAGAAGGATAACTTAAATTTAAAGTAGCATAAATTAGTAATTTTTTATATGCAATTACCAGTTTTATATCACTGTAATTAGATATAAAGAACTTATTTTTGATTGTGAGAAATCAAACAAAACAGAGGGTAAACATGAATAAATTCCAGTAAGTGTAGAAAATATCAAAGCCAAGAGAGGATAGGCAATCATGAAGTGTGAGAAATCCCTAAGAAAGATAGGTTGATAAAAATCAAAAGGAGATTTTAACTTTTTTTTTTTTTTTTT